GTCAAAAAAAAAATAAGGCCCGGCCTTATTATGTGAGAAACACGGTAATAATAGTACACAAATTGTTGTTTAGAGAATTGGGCCTATTGGATTGTGAAACGTTCCCTGAAATAATTATGATGATTGGTTTAAATGGAGAAATGATTTTTTTATGTATGCGATATTGCTTCAAAACGTCTGATTGCAGTACAAATGTGAGTGTGTAATAAGCCCCGAGGCTCATAAGGAAGAGTGTTCCTAAGATCTTTGTGCTGATCCCCTCCCCGAGAGGGATTTCCTTGCAAGGTTTCGATGTTGTTGTTGGCAATTGTTGCATATAAATAACCCACAGTAGAAAAGGTATTCATGGGAAATACATGTGATTTACTAAAGCTAGAGAGAGAGGGAGAAATGGAGAAAAGTATTTTGTTAAGAATGGAGAAAGGAGGGAAGACTTTTCTGTAGTTGAAATATTTTTCTTCCCTCTACCCCCCTTCTGTCAACCCTTTACACAAGGACTTTTGCCTTGAAAGAAATAACTAGGAAATGGTGGGGGTGAGGTTTGCCTACTGCTCGTTTACACTTTTTTCCCCCTTTTCTCTGCTGAGAGAGAGGAGGGGTAAAGGCTTGCTCTTCACCATTGCTGAATATGGCAGCTATGCCGATATACTGTACTTTCTTTCCTGCTCTGAAGTGTGATTCTGATTTTAGTTTGACTCAAATATATTTCAGAACAGTGACCCAAAATACCTCAATTAGATGGTTGCTTTATTTCTGAAGGTTTTCTTTATACCTTTTATGTTTTTGTGTCTGTGCATTTTGAATACATCCTATGGTATATTGTTTGTTTGTAAAAAAAAAAAAAAAAAAGTAGAGAGGAGTTAAAAACTACAATATGTAGCAAGAGCGATAAAAATTTAAGACATGTGATTAATGAAAGTAGTAGGACTGAAGGAGTTGAGGAGATTCTGGATTGCCTAGAATAAAGGTATGCATTGGTTAATGGAGACATTGATGAAATTACTGGAAATGGAAATGGGTAAAACAGGACAAGGAAACATATGGTATGCTACAATAGTAGGGTGTTGCATAGGGTGATGCGTATCTGGATAGATTGTGAACCCAGAAAGGGGCAGTGACTATATATATTTGAAAATGTACATAAACCCCAGCCTTCCTATGAGAAATGTCTTCTGTGGCTCCGCCCATGAGCACAGAATTCCCATTTGCAAAAGCTCCATATTTATTGTTCAAGAGTCTCCATTTGTATGAAAACCTGAATGGTTGATTTTTATCACAACAGGCTTAGCTGTAAGGTATCTTAACATGATGCTAACACCTCTAAAGCTCCTAGGACACTTCATTTTTTTTTTATCCAGACACATACAAATGATGATCAGGTTATTCCTTTATAGACTGATTGACTGATCAGGGTTGTTAGGATATGTGCAAAGTAATCCTTGTATAAAAAGGATATGCACACGGAAAACGGTTTATGAGAACAGTTATGAAGAAATATACAGTCACACGGAGTTGAACAAGTTGTTTACTTGTAGAAATAGCACAGTCCAATAAACAGTCCATGTCATATACATTTTTAACAGTCCAGAAATATCCAGTTATAAAGTCTTCTTACCGGTTCCATGTCTTTTACAGCAGACAAATATCAAACCATAATACAACAAATAATCTTTGATATCAACAGAATATCAACATAATCAAGGTTAATCAGTATCGGTCCGTAGTCAGTAAGTATCAGTATAAAGAGAGATCATCAGTGCAAAATAGAAAGAGAATTAAACCATGATCTGTAGCTCCCTCTTATGGCAACTTGTAGCATAATTAACCAATCGGAACATAGCATAATACATTACAGTATTTTTCCTTAAAGCTACAAACATATATATTTGTAGTTTATCTATTGTCAACCCAACTACATTATTTACATATACATAACAAGGGTGGCAATAAAAGAAGCTGAAGTAGCAAAAACCTAAGGAACCTCTGCTTTAAAGGCTTACAGAGATGACTGCTTAGAAAATAAGGATTTTTCCAAAGTTTTGTCTATGGAGTTCCCTTCTTTCAGAGGAGTGTCACGTAGGCACCATCACACAAAAAGAAACAGGGCAGGAGGGTCTCTCCAACCAAGGAAGCATCTGAGAATGTATGGAGCAGAGCTGTGGTCCTGGCATCAAAGAAGCTCACTTGTCCCTCTTCGCAGTTGACAGAGATGCGGATCCTCATGGGCTTCTCCATCAGGACCAGGTCAGAGCATTCTGACCAAGAGATGGCCTTGTATTTCCCTCCCCATTCCCCAATCTGCCACCACATGGTCTCATCAACATTTGTTATGTTCATTGGCTTGCTGGCAACCCCTATAGCCCATCCTGCTGTACCTCCTACAATAACTTCCCAGAAATGTCTCCCTGTTGAGAACTCCTGACAGCCAAGGACACAAGGATAACGTACAAATCTGTTGCAGTCTGAGACAGGATATTTTCCTTCAACTGGCTTAAGTCCTTTGATGCTTTTGCGATCATTGGAGATTTCAAGGTGGCCAAGATTAGCTGTGTCTGGATCCAGAGTTACATTCTCTATAAGAGAGAAGGAAAGAAGGTAGGAGAAGAACAAGAGCTTCAGCTGCAGGCCTTGTGTGTGTCTTCACCCACAAGAGTTTAACTCTATGGCTTCTTGTGTGAATGGAGATCAGCTTCCAAACACCCCCTCTAGGACTGGAAGACTCTTTTTTTTTTTTTAAACAACACCTAAGCCATTGCCTGGCCAAGAGTCCTCCAACTTTGGCAATTGTAAGACTTGTGAACTTCAACTATCAGAATTCCCCTGATGGGGCTGCTAGTGTCCAGATCCCCTCTGCACCCTTTTCTCCAAGCACTTGGGCTCTCCCACTCTCTTAGTCCCATCCTCTGTTAACTACCGGCCTGTTCAGCACTTCTCTGGTTTTCTCTTTCCATTCACTTAGATTGCTTTCACCATCTTCCAGTCTATCTGCCTCCCTTCAGCTGCCACTCAGGTGCACGGCCACAGGATCCATTGCTTAACTGTACCGCTCTTGGCTCCACTTCTCAGCTGTTTGTCTCTTGGCTCCTCTGGTCAATTCCCCTGGTCTCTAGTCTCCCATGTGGCCACCACTCTGCTGATTGCCCTCCAGCTCTGCCATGCTGGATGGAGAATTCTGGGAACTGAAGTCCACAAGTCTTACAATGGACAAGGCTGAAGATCCCCTGGCCAAGTCCTTCAAACCCTTCATAGTGCTCCACTTCTTCTAGCCTCCATGCACAATTCTCTTTAGCTTCCAACTTGCAGATGAGATTAATGGGATTGGGTGTGAAGAGTAGCTGGCTTTACCTCCAGTGATTTGCTGAGATACTCAAGTTGAACAGGGACTCTGCATTAATCCAAAAGATAAGGCAGAGCAAAAGGCTGCCATGTTTCAATTCTGAACTGACAGAGTCAGAAGGATCCCCCAGAGGTAAATTGGGACACACGATGGGATGTGAGGAAGCTCCACCCTTTTCTCTAAGAGCATCGGGGTATCACAGGCATGTACAAAAGGGGAGGATCTTGCCCAGAAAACCTCTGCTTCCATCAGTCTGATGGTCCACAAGATGGAGGCAACCCTGATGCTCCAATTTTGCTATTTGCTTTGACCTGATTTCTCTGCTCCCAAAATCCTGGTCTCTCACCAACTTATAGTTGGGCAATAAAATCAACAGGATTTACAGTATAAGCTAGTAGATATTCGTTGTTCCTTTCAGTCCCAGGCCATATTTTCCCATTTGCCCAGATATTTCATTCTAAACCAAGATTGACTTCAGTTTTCTAGATTATGTATAGAACACGACAGAACGGAGTGGAGTGGAGCACAGAAATAGAACACAACAGAACAGAATAACAGCTTTATTGGGCCAAGTGTGTATCAGACACACAAAGAATTTGTCTCTGCTGCATAAGTACATATTGTACATATTAATGGAAAATAATAGTTCATAAATCCTAACATCATTAAAGTTTACTAGATCATCATAGTCTTTAAGGTATCTAATCCTGTATTTTTCTTTTTTGTTACTCTATCATGTTTCTCTTAAATTTATTGGCATTAGAGCTTAAAATAGCAAGTGACTGAGATTCTTATAACTCATATTTACCTTCCTGTAATTGAAGTCTACTTTCCAGAGTATCTGGGGAAGAAAAAGGAGAGATTCAGCATCTCATCACTGGAATTGGAGCACCAGAAGGGCCTCCCTACCGATAGTCTAGTTTGGTTTCCTTGGACTCAAATCAGGAAATAAGGAATATGGAAAGCTACAAGCCAGAATATCATTGGTGACTGTATATATTCCATCAGGTATAAATATATTTTACTATATATTCCATACACAGGCAATTTTCAACTATTTGTGTAGTGAAGTTACAGCAGCACTGAAAAAAGTGATTTATGAATGGTTCTCTTACTTATGACTTCTGGAGCCTCCCGAGTCACGTGATCAAAATTCGGGCACTGGGAACCAGCTTGTATTTACAATGGTTGCAGCCTCCCCTGGTTCTGGGATTGTCCTCTTCAGCCTTCCTGGGGAGCTTCTGGCAAGCAAAGTCAATGGGGGAAGATTCCAGATTCATTTATCAACCATGATTTACTTAATTGCCATGATTTTCTGAATTAACTGTGGCAAAAAACTTTGTAAAATGGGGCACAGCTCACTTAACAACTGCCTTACTTAGCAACAGAAATTTTGGAGTCACTTGAGGTTGTAAGTCAAGAACTACCTGTATATAGTCCATTATACTTAGTGGAAACTTATTCTGCTTCCTCAGTGATCAGTGCACATAGATCTTTGTATCTGGGATACAAAGAATACAGGTAGTCCTCGTCTTACAATCACAACAGAGCCCACAATTTATGTTGCTAAGTGAGAAATTTGGCTTCCCCATTGACTATGCTTGTCAGAAGGTCACAAATGAGGATCACGGCAACCGTCATAAATATGAACCCATCGTCAAGCACTCAAAAGTAAATCACGTGGGTTGTGGGTATGATACAAGAGTCATAAGTGTGGAAAACGGTCATAAATCACTTTTTTCACTGACATTCTAACTGAACAGTCACTAAGTGAACTGTTGTAAGTTGAGGACTACCTGTAAATGGCCAACTATGAGTAGCTAATGGTTCAGGTAGCCTATCTTTAATGGGAGCAACCAGAAAGCTCCTCTTCCCCTCCTGGTGCCAAGGCACAAGGCCTTTCCCCAGAGAAAGGAGGGTCGCTCTTCCACCAATCCTGAAATCGATCCCTCTTTGATCCATGTGACACCAGCCCAGAATCTCTCTTGGATGCTCAAAATGTCACCCAGTGTAAAACCCCAACAGCTGCTTTTTACCTCTCAATTTTTTCCTGGCACTTTTCAGAAAGGCAGGGATATCACTGTAATCCCAGATTGTCCACTTCGGCTCTAGAAGTAAATCCACCGGATTCTCATATGTTTCCTTAGCCTGGAATCTGGCAAGACAAAAGAACAGAATAACAGAGTTGGAAGGGACCTTGTAGGTCATCTAGTCCAACTGCCCCCACACACAACCACCCAAGCAGGAGACGCGACACTGTTTCTGACAGATGGCAGTCCAGTCTCTTCTTGAAAGCTTCCAGTGATGAAGCTCCCACAACATCTGAAGGCAAAGCTGTTTCATTGGTTCATTCTCCTCAGTCAGAAAATTTCTCCTTATTTCTAGGATGAATGTCCCCTTGATCAGCTTCCATCCATTATTCCTTGTCTGGCCTACAGGTGCTTTGGAAAATAGCTTGACTCCTTCCTCTCTGTGGCAGCTCCTCAAATACTGGAACACTGCTATCGTGTCTTCCCTGGCCCTTCTCTTCCCTGGACTAGCCATGCCCAATTCCTGTAACCGTTATCAACCTGCTAATAGCAGAAGCTTCCAAAAGCATCAGACGGGGCTTGACGATTGGATAGTTACAGGATCCAGTCTGGGTTGATCACCAGAGGTTTTGTCTTCTGAGCTTCTGGACTCAGGCTGGAGCCCCTCCTCAGGGAACTTCTCTCTCCCTCGCCAGAATGTGTCCCCTGGGCTGTTCTACGCGTTGTGTTTATGTGGTTGTGTGTGGCTTTCAGTGGTTAAGTGGGGTGTTGATGGCCACCTATTAATTCACTGAATGCCTTTTTCTTGTGTGGCCCCGTCCTTGGCTCCTAAGTACCTCGTGAACTGGTAAATCAGCACTCCTGTTGACTGACAAGGGCCCCCGTTTCCCAGGCTTCAGTCATTTCCCTGGCCAGCTATTCAAATATGGGCACCATGGTGACCCAGTGGATCCTGATCCAGAACTGCATTCATCCACTTTCATCAAGCTAAGCAAGAGAGGCAACTAAGTTTCATTTTTGGGCTCCCTACTCTTGAAAATTCTTGTGGATCTCTTGTATCTTGGTAAGATGACTGATAACTATTCAGTTAGAAGATGAATATAACGTTCAAACTGATTTTGGTGGATTAAAGGTAATGCAATGAAATTTAATAGAGACAAATGCAGTTACAAGTAACCTTCAATTTATGACTATTTGTTAGCAACACAGACTCTCAAATAACTGACTTACAACCCTTTCCACACTTAACATCTTCATAGTGTTCCTGTAATCACAATTCGGGTGCTTGGCAACCAGCATATATTTATGATAGTTGCATTACTTGGAACAGCTTACATCCTGTAATAATACCTTTAAAACCATCTAACATATGTCTCTTCTTGGATAGGACTCAATAGGTCGATAAAAATGCTAAATTCAGTCTAAAGATCTGTCTGAGTGTCTTACAGACCATAACAATATACCATATCAAATACTGCTAATTATGTTGTGTTGAGACTGTCTAAGGAAATATCTACAAAGCTCTGAAATACATGTGATATTTAAATTACATCCTACGATGATAACATTAACACCATCAAATATCTATAAAAATCTGATAAAAATGCCGAATTCAATCTAAACATCTGGCTGAGTGTGCAACCAACTATTGATCATATCAAATATTGCTAATTATATTGTGTTGGAAGTTATCTGAGGAAGTATCTAAAAAGCCCTGAAATACAGTGTGTTATCTTTACATTAAAATACTGCTAAATACAAAAAGAATGTTCCAAAATAGGAAAACCTCTAGAGGAGCTGGTGATCTCTGAGACAATAAAGAAAAGGGTAAATTTACTTACTTCTTCGAGATGCTTCCAATGTCCTAAAAAATAAAGAGATGAAGCACTGAAAGGAGCTATTTCCTATGCAGAAAATGGAATGCTAAACATTCACAAAATAAATGAGTGAAACGTCTGGACAACCAGACACTAACAGACATATGAAGACATATATATATATATAATTTTAAATCTCATTGCTCTTTTTCCCCCAGCTGTTCACCTCTTTTAGAGAGGTATTATTTTTACTTTCTTATCTAAGATAGATAGATAGA